GTGAATCTGCGAAATTCACTGTTCGAGTTTCTGGAGATTCGATGGCGTCCTCGCGATCTTGCAGATGTAGATATCACATCGAGCACTACGGTATAAAGTTCTCTAGTTGTGTGGATCCCAGGTGACAGTTACCGATGCGCTGTTCGACTGAACGACATAATGAGGAGAGAAAAGAATAGTGGAATTCTCCGTGGTTTTTTGTAATCTCTACCTACGAATCCACTGACTCCAGTTTGGATGAATTCCATCAAAAGCTGTTTAGCCTCCAACTGAAAGTCAAGCACTCACACCTGGGAGTTGTCTCAGGTGACTTCAATGATCAAGTGAGTAGGCTAAGTCAGGCAGAAAGGCACTCAGGTGATACCTTCGTATTCTCAGCCGAACGAACAGATAACAGAGATCGGCTGCCATAACTGTGCTCCGATAACCATCTACTACTAGCCAGCACAAGCTTCAAACATAAAGAGAGACATTTCTGACGCGGCCTAAACGGAGCTCAACTTATCGACGGACACAGATGGACTACATTGTTATCAGTCATCACTGCAAAGGGTCGGTGGAAGACTTTAGCTCCTTCAGTAGCACGTTTAGACAAGGACCACGTGTTGGTTTGAGTGCGTATAATTCCGTGCTTTAATGGACGTAGAAAAAATTTAGCAACTAGGCCATCACGAGCGCAGCTCGAAAATGAACGCACTAAGGCCACTTTTAGTAAGAAGCTAGTGAGACAGCAGTCGGAACAGAACAATATCACTTATCTGGAAGGAGCTTGGCGCCATCTCTAGTCTGCTGTAAAAACAGCGTTGAAAACCTTAGCCGACTCTCATAGAGTGGTTAAAAAGAGCCAGTGGGTATCAGCCGCTTCCTCTGAATTGATGCACGCAAATGCCTCCCTGTGGGTTTTGAGTACATTGACGAGCGAATGCAACTCAAACGTAGACTGACTAAAAGTCTACACAATGGCCGCGAGCAGTGGTGGGCAGTAAAGGCTAAAGAGGTCAAAAAAGTAGTGGTGATAGGTAACAGTAAACATTAAGAAAACTGAGGCGAAAAGATCAATGGTTAATGAGACGACAAGAGAGAAGGATGGGTCTACGATTCTTTCAGGAGAAACAACTGGAAAGATGCGAAGAAACCCTTCAAGGAACAGTTCAACTGGCCTCTAGCTAATATTTTGCTGCCCACTATCCAGTCAGAACCTGAATGGAACATCGAGATAGAACCCCCGACCGCAACAGAAGTCCAGAAAGCTGTAGGTAACCTTAAACGAGGAAACGGGGCCAGACGAGCTTGTTTCAAATATATTTAAAAACGGTAGTAGAGGATTTTTAGTCAATTTTGTTAACTAGTGTGTGGGAGTCAGACACGATCCTCCTTGACTGGTCTCAATCACTGATTGTCCCGGTCTTCAAGAAAGGTGAGAGATCCATCTAAGACAACCACAGATGAATCCAGTTTGACGAACACAGTGTCTAAGATGCTAGGTTATGTAATCACTAAACGTTTGAGTGGTGATCGGGAACAGCAAGCCCGAGAAAACTAGGCAGGCTTCAAACCTGGTCGTGGATGTATCCACCAGATATTCACACCCGACCAGGTTCTGGAATAGGCACACACACTGACGCCCCACACTAGCTGTATTTCTCAACCTGAAGGCGGCGCTAGACTCCGTTGATCGAGAGATCTAATAGCAATGTCTCTCACTGAAACGGGTACCGAATAAGCACATCAATCTGTTGAATTTCTTTACTCGAACACCAGTGAGCATGTAAAAGTTGTCAGTTGACCTATGTACATCGAGTGGTGTCGGTAAAAGATGCTTACTCACTCTATTCCTGCTGAATTTTGTCATACATATTCTTATGGGGGTCTCCCTCTCGTCATCTGACTTCATGGAGATTGGTCTAATTACAAGAGAATCCTTGGTGAAGACGCTGACAATATAAAGAGTCATCTGGACACCTTCAGTGGCAATTTGAGAATGTTTGAGATACATTTCTCGCCACAAAATCGTAAATTGTTGCCTCCGACTTGGTCTTCAGCGAAGTGAAGTGGTTGAGTGCGGTGAAAATTTCAACTACCTGGGAATTCGGATCAGCCCTAGTGTGTTGGTCAGTGGCCAATGAAATCTATGCACGGATACAAAAAGCTCGATTGGATTTTATCAAATTACGACATATTTGGCATCGCCACGATATCCCCCACAGCACATTACTCTTCGAGTGTATTATGTTGCAGTTCATTCTGTTCTACTTTATGGTCACGAAACATGGCCATTAAAGGTAGAGGAAATGAGAGGCTTTCTGCTGTTTGACCACTGTCGCCTTCGTAGCACTGGCTGTGTCGTGCTATCACCTTGTCAGTAACATAGAAGACAGATCTCAAGCCTTAGGGAGGAGAGGAAAGTCAGCTAATAAGGTTTTGAACCTACATCGACTCAGATGGCTGGGCCCAGTTACCGTCTGCCTCGTTGTGCAATGTTAGCTGAAGTAGGTTCATACTGGAAAATGTCTCGGGGCGGTCAGACTAAAACATGACACCACTGCATGAAGTCCTTGGCTGTTAGTCTGAGCCATGTAGGAGGAGGCAGACTGATCAGTTGAGGTCCAAGTGATAACAGAAACTAGTGGTTGAAGACTCTAGGTGACATGGCTCAAAATCGATGTCAGTGGCGTTGTCTACTGCTTTTGACCGATTCTTTTTTTCTGCTTCTTTAATCTTATTACTTTTTTACTTGGTACGCTGATATGAGGTGTGCCAACTTGGACCGTTACGCAGTAAGGCCTGGCTTAAAGTTAATATTGATGATGATGACTAATAGTGAAAGTTAACTAAAAGCAATTGATTATTTCGCACTTTTCTCAGATATTTAGTTGATCATGGTCTTATATGCACTTTCTCAAATGAATGAATGGGTCAATACCTGAAGCCATTACTTTTTGTACTGTCTGTGTCATAGACACAGACCTCTTCTGAACCAACATTTTGCAGCTGCATGGGGAAATCTATTCTGGAAACCGTTACATTGTTCCAGAAGTTGTTTAAGAGATTCAGAAATATGTTAGGGGTCCCACCTAACATGAATACAAAGTAGCTAAAAGTATTACTGATTAAAATATTTCCAAAATGCGTTCCTCTCATTAAACCATGTACTGATAAAGCACAAAAGCGTAGGGTATGATACAGTAATCCTATGCCTCAAAATGATATATGAAACGAAAATTAAACGCCAGAAAGAGAATATGGTATACAAGCATATTGTAATGAGTAAACTGTGAGCACACATGAAAGTAAATTATTGTATTCAAGATTAACGGAAATATTAAAATCCTCCAGATCATCGTAACCGGCTTTTTTCAACATTAGGAAACATATATATATTTGAAATGAATGGGGATTTTTAATTTAGAAGCAGTATCCATCATGGACTGACATCAGTTGGGGAACCATTGAAAATCTGGGAGCACTGGACAGCTGTCCCAGATTTTCAATGGTTCCCCAACTGATGTCAGTCTATGATGAATACTACTTATATATATATATATATATATATATATATATATATATATATATATATATATATATATATATATATATATATTATACATTGATATCATGCTTTGGTAATGATACTCTATTAAGCAATAGGATTTGATACGAGCACTGAGAAGTTTTTCTATGAGGAACACGAGGATAAAATACCTAAGACTATAATGGGAACTGTGCTTTGGTTCAGAATTGAACGGAAATATAAAATAACCCCATAAACAACAACAGCAACAGGCGTATATAGCGCTTGTGTAGCAATCAAACAGCCCGTTAGTGCAAATCCGCATATAACTTTGCACAGAAATGCATCTATTTAAGTTTTCCCACTTCACACGAGCATTCAAAAAACAAATGAGCGGAAATGGAGTGACATCAAAGTAGACAATAGTATGTGGGATGAAAAAGAATTTGAAAATGAAGGTAAATCAAAACATACAAGATTCGCCAGGTCCCAAGGAGTTAGTACGTTTGTACCACTGTAACAAATTTTCATCCATGTCACTAAGGATCCCCAGCCATTGATTCTCATTATCTCTAGGACTTCAGCTAGGTAGTCTACACCTCCCATCATGGCTAAGATCAACAGTTAGAGGTTTCATCAGCTGGTGTCATGTCTTAGTCTCGCCACTCTTAACCTTCTTCAAACCTAGTCCAAATTTTCCTAGCATGGCGCGTCAAGGCATGCAGTGGCTCAGCATGCACAGTGCATATCCAAGCCACCTCAATCGCCGAAGGTTTACAACCTCATCAGCGAACTTTCCTACTTTGCCTAGTACTCTTCGTTTAACCTCTACACCGTTAACATGGAAATTACATCGTACACCAGCAACTCTACGAAGACACATATGTTCGAAAACCTGTAATCTCTGCCTATCCTTTACTATAAACGTTTATACTTCACTCACATAACAGGACAGAACAGACTGTAGCGCAACATATTCATCATTTAACAAGTAGTTGGATAAGTCGCCGTCCCCAGTGGTAGCATAAGTTGGCAAATGCTAAATAGGTCTTTTATATATCAGCTGGGGTTTCGTCAGAAATCAGCCCGTTCTAGGTGATGCGACTCCCCAAGTAAGTTAAGTGACTAACACACCCCACCACTTCACTCCCTTATCCCTAAACTAGGAATAGCTGCAGACCAGTTCTGGAGCATCATCTTTCATTTGACAGGTGCGAAACACAAGCTAAACATGCCTTCAGATAAAAGAGAGGAGTAATCTATACAGCTATCAGTGGACGCTAAATAAGTCAAATGAGTAGACAAGGTATTGTTTGCCGTCAAAGTACACAGATTGTAACTAATGACTGCTTTCTTTGTGTTACTCTGAAAATGTAAAACCAACCACCTGTATAAAATAACGATTTTAACAAAATATAAAGATGAATTATTTATGGCAAAACTTCGACAATCCACTGATATTTATAGACATGTGAACTCATCAACTTACTCGGACAGCTTTTCCCTTTTCGACTCATCGAATTTGAACAGTGGCAGTGTAGAAATCAAGCCCATGCGAGTAGCGATTCTTACTTGTTCCTCTTCAGTCAACTGGGACATTGGCCGTGAAACACCAGGGGTAGGATGCATAATAGGATCATTCTCCTAATTGGTTGAAATGTAAATATCGACAGGTAAATTTTTAAAATACATGGTGTGTAAACATTAAAGTGTCAACAGGTAACTATGTATAGGCTTAATCAGTCATCTATGAGGCACATTTACTATACAATGACCAAATGTAATAACTGATCACCAATATATACATAAATATTTGCTATGGGATTGGAAGTTACAACTCAACTCTGTCATTCGCTTACGTGAAACACTGAGTTATAGCCTCATAAAAACAAGTACGCCTTATTAAAGAAGTTGCATGATTGCCAAAGCACCCAGAAGTACACGAGAGAAGAAATAATTATAGGATGCAAGTAATCTTGGTATGATAGGTTCCCAAGTATGTCGTGTCATATGGATCCGCATTATACAAAATAAACAACTAGTACAAAAAGGAGTCGTTTCCAAGAGATAAAAAACTGCACTGTATTTCATAAGTGAGATGTTTCTTAAAACAGTAAATGAATGAAGTCATTTTAAATTGCTGTTAAGATTACAGAGTTTTACTTGTCACTGAGATAGAATTGTCAATAAAGTAAGAGGAACCACATTGCCACAAGTGACATTATTTTATTTCATACATATTTATCAGCTAAATACAGCCTAAAATAAAAATGTTTATTGGCACAATAATATGACAACATACTTCAACTATAGAAAGCCGAACAGCCCGTAAGGTACTTCAGATCGAAGTATCCCATTAAGACGACTAATTTGACACATCTAAAAACTTTTTAAGGAAATACGCATACTTCGACTACAAATATTAAACGGAAGTGTAATTTTCTCTTGTAAGCTTATATGGTGCTTATATTTACAGTTAAATTCCTTTAGTTCCCAATAATTGTTGCACGAAAAAGAGACAGACAAAAGAGGCCATCTGTATTTCTGGCCCACTTTACATTTACATATAGACAAAAATGTATGCAATCACTTATAAATTCAGGATCTTTAACCAATGTAAAAGATATGTATTAGCTAGTAGAATCCCATAGAGAGTAGTTACTTAAGTTGACATGGCTTTGAATGAATGTCGAGTTGTGGCCCGCTGACATTCGACTTTTAGCTTCTGATACAGCTAAACGATATTCTGCCTACCGAGGTAGGGTCAACCAGGTAGTCTCATCAGCCTTCAGAAAGTATATCAAATAAATAGTGCCAAGCACACACATCGATATGAGACAGCTTAGTTTCGCTAATTATGATCGCAGCGTGAAAAGCTAAACTTGAACATCCACTTAATTCATGGATACAAAATCAAGTAAATCCTAAAATATATTGGTGAAGAAACATGGTCACCAAGATTTACACTACTGTAATCTTCCTTCTTATGAACGCATTAGAGGTAATAATGCTATAATAACTACATCAACTTGCGTGGTCTTTCTTTTAGTTCATATTTTCAGAATAATCTAGAATACTCATCTTCAAACAGAGGAGTAACGTCAAGTACTTCTTGTATATTGTTTCAAAATTGGTTATGGATGTTTAGAGCAAATATCCACCCTCATCTCAGTTCTCGAACACAAGTACAGTTACCAACGTCCGATACTAGCTAGGTTTCAAAACCTAACGGTAGCATTCAGCTCCCTCGATAGTGAGGTTTGATGGGAGTTTCTCACAGAAAGGGCATCAGGTGAATATATTTCCGTTTAAGGCTCTGTACCCTACACCCATGGGCGTTTTACAGTCTGCCCAGCCATCAGGTGAGCTGAGTGCCAAGTTGCTTGTCAAGGATATCCACCCTCATCATTCTTATTCAGCTGCATCATAAACGTTCATATGGAGGTCACCATCTCTTCTGACTTTGTAGGGAGTGACCTTAGTACTAAGGACTCCTTAGTACTTCTAGAGTAAGCAAGTTACAATCCTGTTTGGTGAACATGCTGACAAGATGCAGACCTCTGGACACCCTGAGAGGTAATTTGAGAATGTAAGGCATGCATTTCTCACCACTGGTCTACGTTGGCGCCTCGTCTAACGGTAAGAAGTGAAGTGGTCCAGCGTGTTGACCAATCCAGTCATCTTACAGGTTGCTTCACCCTGGTCTTTCACTGACTAACGGAAGCTCAGCATGGATACAAAAGGCTCGACCGACCATCGTCAACTTATGCCCCACTATGGTGTCCGTGATATCCAATTGTCTAGTGAGGAACGAGTGTAACGCTTCGTAGTTCACTCTGCTCTACCATATGATCGTGAAACATAGTACTTAAGGGAAGATATACAGAGACTTAGGGTGCTCGATTATCTTTGCCTTCGTAGCACAGGTCATGTGCTGCGGTGCTACCACATCAGCAATGTCGAACCGACAAAATCAACGTAGAAACTCTCACACAAGTGCATCGGCTCAAGCTGTCACACTTCACAGTAGCATGCAAACAACAAGTGGATGGAAACGGATCGATATCAAAGTACACAATGACATATGTGTGGAAAATAGGTAAGTGAAAACATCAAATAGTGAATACATTTGCACTATTGTAACCGACTTTCAGCCACTTCACCAAGGATCTCCAACCACTGATTCCTATCATCCCGATGACCCCAACTAGGTAGTGTGCATCTTACGCGGTTAAAACCAACAATCAGACTTCATGCGCTGGTGCCATATCCTAGTCTGGTCACCCTGAACCGCCTTCATTCCTATCCAATCTCCTCTAGTATACTACAAGGCAAGCGGTGGATCGGGACGTGCACTACATGTCCAAGCCACGTCCGTCAATGAAGGTTCACAACTCCAGCAATTTGGGGGTCAGGCACAAAGGTTTGCACAGGAAAGGTAAGTCAGCTGATGAGTTTGTGAACCTTCATCGTCTCAGACGGCTGGGATGTTTTCCATGCCCAGTCACTATCTACCTGGTCGCACATTTTCGGCTGAAGTAGGTCTAGCTTGGGAAGGGACTAAAGGCAACAAGACTAAAATGTGACATCAGCCCACGAGGTCCATGACTGTTAGTCTGAGTCATGTAGGAAAATTTAGACTTCCTGGTTGGAATCCATGTGACAACCTGAATTAGCGGTTGGAGACAGTAGGCAATATGACTCAGAATGCGAAATCGAAATGCACCCAGCCACCTTAGGCACATTCGTGCGGTAGGCAATGAGTCGCATCTATTGTGTGGGGACTAGTGATACTACGTGGCTGCCCAAGCCTCGGTGGGTGGAATGGGACTCGAACCAGTGGCCCATCGGTTGTCATCTCCCTAAACCAATTACTCAAAGCTCCGGGTCAGACTTGGTCATAGTGATGCAGGTGCATTCATGCATTATCCTCATCCTAATCTTCACACAGAATTTCACTACTTTTCGTTATCGTTTTATCATTTATCAACAGTCCTGATCACTTTCTTTTTCATTTCCCCTTCATTTAGGTATCTTCTACCTTAATATGCTGATACGATATACCAACTCTGACCAGCACGAAATAATGCTTACTCACATGTTGATGGTGACTGTGAGTGAATTTATGGCTGACTAGATAGACTGCGACGAGCACGAAGTTGAGGGAAATCAGTCGTGTTATCTAACGTGTTACTGCCTAGTCTCTGTCGAACACCCAGACGACTCTTTAAAATCTGCCCATTTACGTCTCTAGAAAGCGTTATGATATTTGAGTGCACTTGATTGAGTTCACTCCGTTGGTATAACTCATTCCTAGCTGCTTTTCGTTGAAGCGTAGACAGAGGTGACGAAAAGACATTGTTTCCATAGCGAGTTACTTCTCTTCTCAATCCAATCTTTTAGCCCAATGGCTGAGATGACTTTCAATGAGGAGCCAGTTAACTAGTGCAGTCCCGACTCTAGTACTAAGTGCAACACCAGCATGACCAAGGTCGGACGTCAACAGGGCAGTCAGAGATAAATAAATTTAACATAACTTTTTTTAACTTAAGTTACTGACTAGAACTTTATTGGCAATAAGCCTCACTCGACACTCAGTAGCATAACTGACTAGTTCCACCATATTCACCTCGGGAAGGTAGACATTCCTATGAAATGACTACACGTAGTAAAATTCAGTACTCAAAAAATTGCCGAGTGAGTATGTTGCTCTGTAGTATGTGAAAACTATACCTTCTTAAGTCCTATGACCTGTCCTAATTCGAATGCTCAGGGGAGTAAAAAACACCTATATACAAAACAGTTCACTGAAAATTTAGAAACGGCCTACCAAAAAGAAAACAATATCAGTAACTCCAACCCTCAGTCATAATGGCTTAGTGCATGAATTTTGACAAACACTTTAGATATTAAAACTTTAATTTGTATATTTACGACAACTAACTCATGTTGAATGAATAATAATTTATTCATAGGCATCAGTTTCGCATCTCCCGTAAACTTATCTCACATAATAAGGAAACAAATTGCGTTAATACATCGATTTTTAAAATTTTCTATTTTGCTGCTACAGCACACTGTTGATTGCTTTCATTATTAAAGCACTTCATATTTGGTTGATTTTGTTCAGATGATAAATTATGTTACGTATTTTCTCGTGCTACTCTGTTTCGTGGATGAAACCACCAAAAGACCTGAAATCTTTTTAATATTATAAGCAAGGATAGAACAAAAAATTGGCTCTAACTAGCTTATTAATTAAACAAGTGACTGAAATGTTTTGCATTTACCCACGTACTATACACACTTGGTAAATAGTAATTATCAAGATGTGCTTGAGGTATCGGAATATTTTTCATGAGTTTGCATATTTATTGCCATTTACTTCTCAACAGTATTTAAAATTTTCCACCCTGCCCACCCCCCGCTGGAGTTCATACTTTGCCACGGATGTCCAAATAAGGGACTGTAATGCATGAGAAAGACTGACGTCAGAAACAACAACTAACCAATACTTTACACACTTGCATTGAGTCATTCGTATTTGATGGGCTATGACAAAACAGTCGCAGACGGATAGACGCTTGTGATCGTAGCAGTCGCCTTTATCCATCACTACATGAAAATGACAGTTTTGTCTATATCCTCCAAAAAAGTTAACCAACTTGAATCTAGGACCACACACTGCTAATAAACTTATTTTAGTCATTTCAAGGTCTTAAGTTATTATGGATTCAGCTTTCAAGTTTGTGGAACTGCACAATTTACAAAATACAGCACTGTGGTTTCGAAAAACTGACTATGTAGTCGAAAGATGACGGGCCCAATATGAGTAAGCCACAAGCCAAGACGTTGTTAGCGTTAGGTTTACCCTAAGTAACGTCTACCCTTGTGATTATAAGCAACTCTATAGTGTTTCATACGTGTCGTTTAACTGTGTGTTTATAGGAAGGGCGTTAGAATGATTCTAGCTTCACAATTGTCAAGCTACGTTAACAAAGGCTGTGGGAATGATTGAGTGGTAAGAATGTGCTGCTGGTTTTTTCTTGGCTAAGTAGATATAGAAAACAATTAGGACCATTCAATGAGGTATGGCTAGTCAAAATGGACAAAAAAGCTTGGTTTGCTAAACAAGAGACTCACATAGTATGGGGGTAGACGATTTCGATGTGCTTCACTTTCAGATCTACGTTGTGCATCGTTATTTCTCACGTCAGATGATGACTCAATGTTTCTACACCTTAGGCAGTTGCCCATATCCAGACCGTGTGCTATAACATTACCGACGCTGCCTCATAAGGCCTATCCTACAGCTGTTCACCTGACCTTGACAAACTTCAGCGCACTCAGAATGTAGTTCAATCCAACATCTAACACTAAATGTACAAAGGTATGTTGACAGAATAGATGCTTTCTCTTGAGTGGCTTATAGGTCTAGAACCAGTGGATCACTAGTTTTTGTTATCTTTAACCTATTTTCACACAAAAGGAGAGAGAAAAGTGGAGGTTAAAGAATGAATATCGAGTTAGTTTTGAGTGAGCCTTGAAACTGATGCTGGATGCCCCTCCGTAGAACTCCTCTATGGGACTACCTTTCATCTACTAGGTGAGTTCGTTCCCCCTCCAACTTTCGCAATTTTTTTGACAGAACATCTTACGTGACCAGGCTTGCAAATGCAATGCTTTCGGTTAAGCCAACTATCATTCGACCCCAAACAACCGATGTATTCGTACACTCCGTTGTACAAAAGATACTGCACGTTTTCATATGCTATGATGATGTTCGTCGACCTCTTGAGCCACCTTGCGATTGACCATTCAAAGTCACCAAGCGGCACGGAAAATCCTATATAATCGAGCGGAACTGACATGAGGATTCTATTATTGTCGGCCGCTTGAAACCAGCTTACTATGTAGGCAACCCCATCATAAGTGACGTTCCCAACTACTATAGCCGACCGCCTGATGGACCAATGATCAAGATTCTTGACGATGTGTCTGGTAATACACAGAAACAACAACCACCTGAAAAACAAAAAGCACTAACAGGTCAAATCTTCATGTTCCTGGAATATCTAGAGACATACTCAGATCAGAAGTGCGAATGAAAATATGCCAACTATTTTTGACCTTAAAACTATTTTAGAGACACCGTTTACTGGGAATGCGAGAATTTTTCCACATTTCATCTTTTTGGCACCCACTTATACTACCACACACGTTTTTCAAAAAAATAATATTAGAATAAGGTGTAGTGACGCATACATAGGGAGGACTAATAGATCCATGCAAGTAAAGGCCTCGGAACATATTCCAGAGTGGCTTCAGAAGCAAATTAAATCACCTGAACCATAAATGTTGGTAGCAGACGTCCGAGTTCTTCGATCCCAAGCATATCGTTGAGACAGGTCACAAGGTTGATGTGGCTACTTCCTTGACACCCATTTACAAAACATGTTGGGGAGGGATCCTGAAATTTATTGAAGCCTTAGCTATTAGGAAGTTGAAACCACTTTTATTTGTTCATAGACAATTTGTTGTCACATTAAACCTTCCTTGGTAAATTCAACTATTGAAAACCAAGTCCGATGTACTATTATTTTTTCCCTCTATTGATTTTCATTGTTATTCGGCCCTTAAGTCGGCCTTCCTACCTGACCCTTTTTATTTTCTCACCCCTTATCTTCATCAGTTATTATATAAATGCCTACGACAAGTAGGTGTGTAATCGGATGGTTCGAAATGTGTTGCGCAAATACATTACACGGTTCATACAATTTACGTCTTCTTATTGTTTTGTCGAAGCTTATAAAGGGAACTAATTGTTTTAAATTAGAATAAGGCGTTAAATCTTTTTCAATGATTTTTATTGTTTACTTGTGGGGTATAAATGCTTCCAGTGATCTGTGGTGGCATATAATTTCCCCTAATCAGTAACCTAGGCTACGACGAGACCTGAAATTCATGCTGACCCCATAGTGTTATTGGATTCGCTAAGCTGAAGGCACACATCAAGCATCCACGCCGTTTGGGAAGTTATCGTGTTGCGTTGTACTTCTCGTAATTGATGTTCTAGTCAACTGGCCGGAAAGTATTGGTATTTATACGTGAACTCTCAAATATACTACTTCGTACGCCACTGCGTTCTTCCTTGGTCACACGGTCGCGGGTATGCAACAAGTTTGAACAATCAATGATTGTCCTCTGTATCCGTCTGGTTGGTCACAAGGACAATTCCTAAATGGTTGTCAACGCCATTTCTCCACGAAATGCATGTCCGTCACGGCTGGTATGAGACTCAAATTTCTGAGGGACCAAAAGGTCAAATCCTTCCCCGTCTGTGACGCCTCAGGTTCCATGCCCTTGAAGCTACTCACACGACAAGTGTCATGCTTAACGTCTAGCGCCACGCGTTTTTCGGGAATAAATGCGAGCCCATTGTTGACTGCTCAGTCTAGAAGTTGGGCCAAGCCTTCTCGCAGGGAGACGCTGTCTTCCTCACTTTTGGTTTCTTTTCGTAGTTTCGTGTCAATTGCAGAAAGAAACACTTCTGAAGAAACCTTCCGAAATAAATCATCTGTTTGTGTCAGACAGAGAGACATCTCTATCATCATCAAATTGATAATGCCAGAGAAATCTCCATTTATTAAGCTGTCTTGAATGATACAGGAGAGAGGGCATCAAAGTCTGTCATAATATCAAAGGTGTCCGCAGGTTATGAAAAGAACAGGAAAATGTCACTTAACAGTACACGCAAACTGCTTATGAGTTTCGGTAGTTTCTGCCCACCACTCTGTTTTCCACAACAAAGTGACATCAAAGTCGCTCAATATTCGGCGCTTGAGTTATTTGTGACCAATGTGCTTAGCCTGTCAATACAGTACCATCTTTCACCGGATAAACGTCCATTTTAACATCAGTTCATATGTTCACAGTATCAATGGCTAACCAAAACTCACTGCATCTATTTCAGATAACGGTCAGTGTTGGCAAAACCATGTAATCCACGTGAATATATAAACTCACACACAAGTCCCGCTTATCGTGTTACGTAATACAGCAATGGAAGTGTAAGCCATCAGAATCAGTTGTTGCTGCATGAGGAAATAAACATTTGAAGGACTATTATCCAGTAGTATGTTGACCGTTAATTGTCTTTTATCAGACGGAGTCAAATGAGATAAAGTACTGAAGAAGTTTGTTTGCGATCATTTTTTCACTTTGAACCGGTAAGTGAGTTTATTTCTTAAATTCGGTTGCTTGTCCAGACTTTTGCTTCCACCATGACCGTCCGGAAGCCTTGGACTAGTTACTGTGGTTGGGTTTTCACATATGGTAGCATCTAGGATTTTGGTAAGCGGATAAGCCTACTGTGGAACTCCTCAGAAAGTTGGAAATCAATTAGGAGTTCTTTCAACAATTTCTGATATCACGTGTGAAGTAGTACGTTCAGTGCGTTGATGTTTTTGGCCAACCTTGTGTCCAAAGTTTTCCCTTCAGCTTAAGCTGAACAGAGAAGAAAGAAAGAAAGCATAAGCAGAAGCCGGGGAGTGATATACCACACAAGATAAATTAAAAAGAGAGAATCTCGTATCTTCTTGGAGTCAATCGAGCAGTGTGTACACTTTAGTTTATATATGTAAGGATAGCTCTCATAATTTACCTACATAGAGTTCGTACAAGTTTTCGGCATGCTGTGTTTATTTGTAGACGTAAAGGAAAAACTGACCCTGTATCAGAGTGATATGTACATTTCCAATGTGTACTTCGCTGGCCACATAAGTTAAGCTAGTGAAATAGTAATCCAACTCCCTGTGCAAAAATGCTTGAGTCCGTTAGGGCAAAAAGTACTTGAGATTGGTTATAGCCTTACTTTGTACTGTTATTTTCATTAGCCCAGGACTTATAAGTAGTGGCTGAGCGAGTGATTCATCATCCGTGAAAAGCTTATTAAATGTGGAGCGGAAAACAGGCAGTGAACTGGCACCTAGTATTTCCTCAAGAAGTCTATTTCAGATATGAGATAACTTACTAAGGAGGAAATTGCCTCTGCCGGCTGGTCTCGCAAGACTCGATTTTAGCTAGTAGCCTACGATTTCTCATATTGTAAGTAGCAGTTACAAGTGGTTTTATTTTCGGGCCGAATGAGTGTATTCGCTTGCAAAGTCGTTTACTTGAAACAATCAGCCCCTTTAATAAGTCTCGACAACGCTGTTAGAAGACGAAGATTATCCGAAAAATGTGATGTGTTTGCGCAGTACATCCCGAACAATCTGAGCACACATTTGCTTTACGAGCCAGGTTACGTGTGCAAATGAAAAGAAAATTAAAGGCCAAACGTAATGAACATGAAAAGGTTGTGGCACTAGTCTTGGAAATATAATCGGATCAGAATTATCAAGGCAAATTAAGTGGAACGGCAAATCTTTTTTGTACAAGCACCAGGGGATTAAGTTTACTAATGGCCAGCGCTTCGACGAACTTCAGTATGTGCCCCTTATTATTCCTGTATAATAGCTTGACGGCCGCCTTCGTATTTTGATGATATATTCTACTGTAGGTGACGATGGGTGTCTTTGACCTACACTTATCAGTTTTCTTGTATTAAATTGCTTTTCAGACCGCTCAGACATGTGTTCACCCACCCTGGTCTGCATGAACGATTACCCCCCCCCCTACATATCTGTGCCCACACATACAAGCTGTACGTTTGAAATTATGTTACATTTTAATGTGATTTCGTAACTGTATCATAACTTTGTTATTAACGTCATCATAAAGCCACGAAATTCTCAAATGACTAATCACATATCAGACATGCAACTAGATATGGCTAATGCATGTAAAAAAGCATGGACACAACTGTCTGTGGAACAGCGCATCAACAAAACCCAAATGTTGGTGACACCAAAAGCAGATTCCCCCTGCAACAGCGTAGGTGAGTCAGCTTATACTCCAGTTATGCTCAAGAGAAGAAGAAATGCGTTCGATAAGACAGCCAACGTCAATAATAACAGAAGTACCTCTGCATGCCCAACATGTAATAAGACCGCAACACTAAACGTTGCAGAAGGCCTAAAGCCTAATGGAAGCTACACATCTCTTGTGAAACTAACTAGACTTCAGCCACCAAGTGTATCATCGTCACTTCTTCCAGAAATAGAAAGCCTAAAGTCCTCCATAGGGGAACTAAGGGCAGAAATACGCCGACTGAAAGATGACAAACAGAATAATGCGCCACAAGAAAATATGTTAAG